CGTACGAATTAGCCACTAAACTGGCAAAACGTAAAATACTTACGTCTTCTCGTGAGATCAGGCTGGGTATTCAGCTGCTTACTTTTGCTCACACGAACGCAATTTCTCGATTCTAAGATCACATTCGCATGCATATTGGGTCATCCTTTTTGTCGAACCCTGCTTTTAAGAAAACCACAATTTAAAAATTATTTGCAACCAGCCAAAGTGGCTAGTGGGAGTGACTGTCTAATCCGTCAAAGCTGAAATCTGCCAGCATTTAGCGGGTGTAAATGTTAAGCCCTGCCTATAAACTATGTATAACATTGTTTTCTACTATATTATTTTATGGTGAGAGTTAAACAAATACAATTTGAACTTGATTAAATATTATTTAGTACAATCAATATTTATTATTATAATAATGAAATGTTATGCAATAATAATAATAATAATGTTACCAAACAAAATATCCATCATGGAGCAGTCAAGCAGTCAAATGTATAAAAAAATATACATATGTTTCTTATTTTTAGTTGTAAATTAATTTTAGGAAAACTAATCACTTAAAATGTAGAGATTGCATTAATTTAAAATGTTGAAAATAAGATATAAAAAACCTAATAAAAATCAAAGTTCAAAGGGTGCATTTCAGGACTTTGACGCCATGGTTGGATTTGCTTAGGGCCCCAAAATCATTAAATCCGTCCTTGCGCCTACACCATATATTATCATTAATTTCTCACTAAATTCTTTGTTTAAGAATGTTCAATCATCTCGAAAAATGTTACTTTCTAAGTAGGATTATTCTTCAAATTTTATTTTTACAAGCAAAAGTACAGTTACTCTGCTTCCCTGAATTTATTTATTAACAGTATAAGGCCTACATTATAAGTAACTGACTTAAATGTACAAAATAATTCAAGTAATCCCTTACTTTACTTTATCAGTGAAAAAATAATGTAATTACGGTAACTAAATACTTTGTATCTAATTACATCCAACACTGCTATATGGAGCAAACTAGTTTCACTCACAGTGCATTGTACTATACTAGCTAAGCAGCGAATTACATCGTTGTTTGGGAAACACATCCCAGGATACTAAGTACACACACCAGTACACACGCACACACTCACATGTTTGAATGAAAGAGGGTCAGTAGGGATATGATGACACCCCCCCACCACACACAAACACTGAACTCATCCAGTCAGCTGTGTGCCTGCAGCTTAATTACTCGAAAGCTCACCGAGTGTCTGACCTCCACCGTTAGCCTAATTGAAATTTAATTGAATTTCGCTTGTCTAGACTAATTAAGCCCCTACTGAAACCGCCAATCTTCAGCCGCTCGCCGGACAGTGAGCTTCAGAGAGAGAACTGGGAGCCCGCAGGAGTGCAGGACAAAGGCGGCCATTTTAGGAAGCAGCTGACAGAATGAGAAACGGGTTTAAAAATAGCAAGGACTTGGGTCTTAATGAGGAGGAGAGGTAGAAATGAGTACAGTACGAGCAGATTAAAGCATGTGGGTTGTGTTCATAGACGGGCCCACTTGGTGTGTTTTCATCTGTGGATTGGAGAGAAGTGTGTGAAAATGGTAGATAAACGTGTTAAACAGAACTATGATTGAGAGGGCTGTGATTGATTTGTTAGTCTTTTTGATTCCCGGTCATTCAGGAATCAAGTTATAAACTTTATAGCGCCACCTGGGTTTGAATGCTGCAAGATACATTGCTGTTTCTGCATAAACGAACATGCCTACAAGTTTGTTGTGGCCACTTAAACTCATATTTTGGTGACACACTTCCTTTTTTGATTATGCATGATGCACAATTACTGTTTAAATTAAGTCATGTGGGGCAACATGGTTGCTCAGGGGTTAGAACTGTCACCTCACAGCAAGAAGGTCGCTGGTTCGGGTCCCAACTGGGTCAGTTGGCATTTTTGTGTGGAGTTAGCATGTTCTCCCCATGTTTGTGTGGATTTCCTCCGGTTGCTCTGGTTTCCCTCACAATCCAAAGATATGCAGTATCGATGAATTGAATAAGCTAAATTGGCCGTGTTGTATGTGTGTGAATAAGTGTGTGTGGATGTTTTCCAGTACTGGGTTGCAGCTGCAAGGGCATCCGCTGTGTAAAGCATATGCTGGATAAGTTGGCAGTTCATTCCACTGTGGTCACCCCTGATGAATAAATGGACTAAGCTGAAAGGAAAACGAAATAAAATCATGTCACGATTTGTTTACTAAAATCTCTGCATTGCTGTTCAGTTTTGTTCAGATTCAAGTGCATACATTTGTTTATATTCATTTAAGTAAAACTGCCTTTTCTGATTCAATAAGTAAGTCGATTTTTATGATTAATTAAGCTACTTCTTAGCTTATCCTGGTGTTTTGGTCTTGTTATTTATTCACAGTAACTTATTTGTTCTTACTCATTTATTCTGATTCCTTTAATACAGCGGGGAAATGTTTTTTTCCTGGGAATAATATTTCTAAAGGTGCTGTTGACACAAAATTGAACCAGATTTTGGTAAAAACCCCAACAATACAAACTTAATTAAACAAATTAAACAAAACAAATATGAAAAGTGAGTTCTGTGTAGTAACAATGAATTGACACAAGGAGAAAGTACTGAACTTCTGAAATGTAATTAATGCTTTATATAAAAGGCTTTTTTGATGATGGCAGTTTAAAGACGCCTCTCATATCGAGAATGAAGTCACATGAAATGCTCAGGTGTGAGTTTTTTTCACAGACTCAACAAAGTGTAAAAATCTTGATGGTTCTGTGGGTCTCGTCTATCAAATCTGATCTTTATTTTGTATCTTCTATTGGATTCAAGTCAGGTGATTGGCTGGGCCATTCTACAGCTTGATTTTCTTTCTCGGAAAGCATTTAAGTGCTTGCTGAAGAACTACTGAGAGATTTCAGCTGCTGTTTGGGATTTCACGGCCTTTCTACACCTCCCTTTCTTTATGTGTTCAATACTTTTTCCCTGCGTCATTTCATTTTATTATACAAAGCTTTCTTTGTAAACTAATGAGATTTGTTTTCTTTGCATATATGGATTTCTTTAGTTGTTACCAACATTCGAGAAAAATTTAAAGTAAATGACACCTTTAAAAATATGTTTTCTGAGAAAAATGGTAACGTGTTTAATACTTAATTTTTCCCCCTGCCATAAGTTTGATCATACTGATTCATTTTTTTAGTGAGTATAATTGTTTTGATTTCTGTTAGTGGATTAATCTGTTCTGGTTAAAGTCAAATGAGCATGTAGTAAATCCATTTGTTATGATCAGTTTATGTCAAATTGGCTGTTCTGATTTCTTTAATCTGACTATTTTTTGCATGTTGCTTTAGGAAAGCTGGACAGCCTTGTGCAATGATTCTTTTTAAGACCCAGATTATAAAAGACATTTGTTTGCGTTGAATTTTGTTTGTTTACTGGTTATTATAGGTTAGTTATTCAGAATTTTGCAAATACCTGACTCATTAGATTCACCAGATGCACAAGTATTGAAATCAAAATTGTTCAGATTCAAGTTAATAAAATCTTTCTTATTAATTTAGTTGATTAAAATTCATTATATTGATTCAATAAACTCAAGTGACTTATAAGTGAATCATATTGTTTGGTTTTCTGTTGTATATTAGTTTGTTCAGATTTATGATTATTATTTTTTTGTAAATCTGTTTGTTGTGATCTATTTATGTAAAATTAGGATACCTTTTTGCCTAAAATTAAACTTTCCATATATTTGAACACGTCATTTCATTAATTAAAAGTAATGTAATTTTTCAGTTAAGCGGTTACTAAGAGTCAGTAATTCAACATTCTGCCAATACTGAAATTTGATTTACTACAAACAGTGAATCATATGACTCATTAGATTCGATTCACCCATTCTTCAATAATTGGACTTCCAATGTATGTACAAGAAAAAGATTTATGTTAAGTGAAGTTTTTTTTTTTAACTAATTCGAGAGGATCACATGCTTATGATTGACCACTGCTGGTCCCACATTAGCTATCACATGATATACCAATCAGACGCACATAAATAGCCAGATTTCCTTACCTTAGCCATTTTTGTCTTAAAGAATCCACCCTGACTCCTTCCCCTCTTTCCTAGCATAATCCAGGGGAGTCCTTGAGAAATACCTGCTCAGACTTACCTCTCTCCCAACTAAATGGGAGGGAGCCCCAAGCTCAATGATTCTCTGAGCTCAGGGCTCTCTCCCAGAACAGCATGCCATTTACCTTATCAAGCATCAGTTAAGTGTGAACTCTTGAATTAAAAGATGCTTGTGGTTCATGATTCACAGGTTTTAGATTTTGAGACTTTGAAATCTGCTCTGACATTTGATGTTGAAAATTTAACTGGAGTTTTGGAATTTATTTGACATTTTTAGTAGCTCCACAGACAACCAACATAATCTACAAGATCAGAACTGTCATTAAAAGTCACCTTTACTTACATTTTCAGAGCAAATGTTTATAGAGATGTATCATATTCATGATCTGAAGTGAATTAGTTTGTTGCGATTGATTTGACTCAACTCTCTGTGTACCGTTTTAGTTTTGGATATACTAAAACATGCATCTTATATAATTATTAATAAAGCATAGCTCAATAGTCATGGGAATCTAAAGAATCTCTGCATGACTGAAATGAATTCCAGCGACATTGATATTTGCCACTCTCAGATTAATGACTCGTTGCTGAGACTGGGAAAAAGTGTTTGCAGAACAAGGGTTACCGCGACCCCATGGAAGTGCTGTTGTTATTATATTTTCTCTTCTCTCTCACCCCCCCAAAAAAGCGGCAGTGTTTGAATAGAGAGGCCAAGGTCAAAGATAAAGCAGTGGGAACACTTTTTCAATTTTATTTCAATGAGTCACATTTGGTACGTTAATTTACCCAATCTAATCTCCCAGCCCAGAGCGATGACTGTTTACTGATTAATAATAAGCCATCTTTTTCTCTTTTTCTCTCCCGCTTTCTCTCTCTTCAGGTACCTCTGCAGCCTGGACAGTCATTTAAGTTTACAGTTCTGGAGACCCTGGACCGCATTAAAGAGGAGTTTCAGTTCCTTCAGGCTCAGTACCACAGGTGAGGGATTACCCCTAGTGTTTGAATCGCTTTTGAATGTTAATAAATCTTGCACTGAATGTGTCTTAAATTAATGCTGCTAAAACGATGCTATCATGATGCTATCATCTGGTGATGCTATCATCTGGTGTATTTACTAATAACAAGTAACTTGCACAAAGTATTTAGCGGATTTAATATAATATTGTTTAATTATCATATTGCGCACACATCATTAAGTTAATTGGTTTATTTAAATTATTTCAAGTGAATCAGTTTGTTTCGTTTTCAGTAAGTAATTTTTTTGTTTAGTTTTTTTGCTTCATTTAATTCATTGTTCAGTAAAGTAAATCTTATTTTTAGGTCTTTAAATGTGTTCTGATTCACACTGATTCTGATTCATTAGAGGGAGTTATATTTTTCTGATTCATTCAGGTATTGTTTTAATTTCTGCATGGCAAATGGATTAAATTGTACTCGTTCCAAAACATTTTTTTCTTTTTTTGTTCAAATAAAGGTTTGGGGTTGAATTAAGTGATTCAGATTCCTGAATGAACTGTTTTGTTCAGATTCAAGCTAGTTATTTCGTTCTAATTCATCTAATGAAACAGTTTGTTGCGATTCATCAAGCTGATTATCTGAATCAGATTGTTTCAATTGGTGTAATTGCTTTGTTCTTATATTTGATTCATTGATTAAGAGTTTGTTTCGTGTTTATTAAATGATTTTATGTTTCATTTAATTCAGTTTATTCATTGATGTTCAGTAAAGTAAATCTATTTGTTCTGATTCACATGAATCATTTTATTCTGATTAATTTGAGGGAGTTATATTTTTCGGATTCATTTCATTTAAGTGAATTATACTGTTTTAATTTCTCTATCGTAATTAGTTTGTTTTTAGTTAACAGATTAATTTGTACTTGTTCTAGTAAAACATTTGAGTTGGATTAAGTGAATTAGATTCTTGTTAATGAACTGTTTTGTTTAGATTCAAGTTCGTTTTAAGAAACAGTCTGTTATGATTCTTTAAGTTCAATAGCTAAATTAGATTAGATTTCAATTGATGTAAAAGTTTTGTTCTAATATTCCATTAGTTGCAAAAATTCCTTATCAGTTTAAGTGAACTGGTTTGCTATGATTGCTTTACATGAGTTTGATCATATTGATTTATTCTTAATGTAACAGTATGTGTTAAATCCTGTGTGTGAATTCGTTTGGTCTGATTCAACTGAAGCAGTTGATTCTGACTCATTTAAATGATTTTATTTTATTCTTGGAAGTGAATCGTTCAGTTCTGATTCATTTCCTTCAATTGATTTATGATCATCGTTATAATCCTTGATGTATTTTTGCCTCAGATTATTTTGATATTTGAAGTGAATTCCTTCGTTTTTACTTATTTAGGTGGATCAGCTTATGCTGATTACATTCAATGAATTTCTATGTTAAGATTATTTCAGGTTAATTGGTTTATTCGGCTTTTGGATTATTTTAAGTGTATGCTTTTGTTTTGATCCCTGTAAGTGGTCTGAATGTTCATTTGTTTGAATTGATTATACCTTATTTAGATTCATTGAAGTGTGTTTGATCGTTCTGATGTGTTTGTAAATCAGATTGTTTTGGTCTGAAGGGCATTTATTAGTTTTGATTTGTTTATTAAAGTGGTTCGAATTCACTAAAAAGTGAAGTGAAACAGATCTTTAAATGATTATTATTTTTTTGATACATTTTTATTAAATTAGTTTTTTTAATTCAAGCAAACAGTCTTCATTGTGTCATCTCAGACTAGGTTTTTCATTCATTTATTTAATTTTTTCTCATGCTTTTCACAGTCTCAAGTTGGAGTGTGAGAAGTTGGCCAGTGAGAAAACTGAGATGCAGCGCCACTATATCATGGTGAGTCTGTTCAGCCCTCATAACGTCAGATCCGCTCTAGTAAACAGCATAAAAGCCGTCTGTTTTTAAAAAGAGAGATTTCATGTTACAGGGTGTTTGGTTAACCTGATGACATGACAGCGGGATTGCGATAGGGGTTTGGGGTAGAAGAAAGGGTGATATGCCAGATCCCGAAAGAAAAGGTGGATGGAAAGCAAAAGAGCGCCTCTAAGATCGCAAGCACAGACATGTAAATAATGCGAGGGAACAGTGATTCAGTGCTTGCAGAAAGCAGATAACCCAGAAGGCTATATTTAGCCCACTAGTCCTGCCATGTATACCCAGGCTTGTTTCAACAGTTTCATGCGTTTATAGTTTACCACATTTTTTTCTCTCTCCGCTCTTTGATGACTAAACAGAGGACGGCGTGTTCCTCTCCTCTCTCTTTAGTGAGTGATTTATTCGTTGATGGGCATGAAATAGTTTTCAGAGCTCATTTGCGATGGTGCGTTAGCCTCCTGGCTAGCAGAAATAACAGAGACGGTGAATTGGATGATAGTCAAGTGTTAAAAGGTTTGTTCTGTGCCGTGGTGCAGTGATATTATTTTCCTAAGATTCTGAGCACAGTCTTATCCAGTGACGTGAGGTGTTCGCAGAATCATTTCAAGAAGATTCAGATTGTGGCTTTATATGTTAAGCTCATTCCATGAAATCTTTCCATTGTTGTTTAATTAAACAAAGCATTTGTAGAAATGTTTACCAAACACATTTTGTTTAACCTACAGAATCCATGTAGGAGTTCAAACCTTCAATACTTTGTATAAAACAAAAGAAACTGTGAGATTTACAGTTATTAAATGATTATTATTGAATTTTACAAATGTCGTCAATGGTTTACTTTAAAAAAAAAAGGAGCAACTTTTTAGGCTTTGGATTATTTGGATCTTACCCCAGACATGCTTAATAATGTTCATATCTGGTGACTGGGCTGGCCAATCCTGGAGCACCTTGACCTTCTTTGCTTTCAGGAACTTTGATATGGAGGCTGAAGTATGATAAAGAGTGCTATTGTGCTGAAGAATTTGCCATTTTCTGTGGTTTTTACAGTAGAAATAAATGTTATTATGTTAAGTAATTTTAAGTAGTTTTATATTAACTAATATAATTTTAATATATGCCAACCTATATTTAAATACTAATATCTGTTTTCACGATGAATCAGTGCTCTTCAAACAACAGCTTTCCCACAAGCTAAGCAAATTGATACTAATCAAAAGAAATACACACAAACACACAAATCACACGTGAAGCTGAAATAATGAAACGCTTGTGAATTAAAAACATTTTATTGAGCATAAATCCAATGTGCACTTCAGTTATTTATCCAAAACAAATTGTCACCTTAGAATTATAAGGTTCTATCTGATATTTTTGTCAAAATTGAGTTATTGACATATTCTCATTAAATGACAACTTATTTACATTATGTGATGTTTTTTTTTATAAGTTGTTTACATTTTAAGACTTTTTATTTAAAAAAAACAAATGTTACACACATACTGTTTGCTATGTGGAATACAAAAACTTTGAAGCTCAATATCTCAAAAACGTTCAGAATGCAGATAGAACCTTATAATTCCAAGGTGATGAAATGTTATCAAATATTAAATAGTAACTAGGCCTACCGCCGTATCACTCTGCAGCCCATGAACGGTTACTCAGTGAAGCTAAGCAAAAATACCACCATTTGTAAGGATATTACATAGAAGTATTTTAGTTCTTGATTCATTCTTAAAATAGCTTCTAAATATAAAAAAACATTGAAAATGTATTGACATTATTAGGAATTTTCCGATTAGGCTGCAGAAGTGACTGTGGAAACACGACTGTCCCTGGCTCGCCCTGCCATGCTTGCTTTAGGAGCAATAGTGGAAACATTGCTAATGGTTACAGGTTTCTAACATTTTTCAAAATATCTTCTTTTTGTGCTCAGCAGAAACAAAGAAACAAGAGATGACAGAATGATCATTATTGGGTGAACAATTCTTAGAAAAAACAAACTTGCTGTTAATAATTTAACATTAGGCATTTTTGCAGTCACTTAATATCACAATCATTTGTATAGTATATATTGTTAGTTAGAAATATTGTGATATTAGGCTATTATATTTTAATTATAACATTTAAATCAGTGCCAGTACTTCTTAAATCCTAAATCCTGATTGTCTACTGCTGTATTTGAGTCTTTCTCTCTCTCCTCTTCTCTTTTTCTCTCTCTCTCTCTGTGTGTGAATCTGACACGCCATCATGATCCAGCCTTTAATGAGCGTCCGTCTAGTTGCTCTCTGACCATCGTGTGTAATCCAGACCCCGAGGCGTCCACGGAGGGAAAGACGGGGCGAGCGAGGGGTCTAATGCACTCTTTTGCAGTAACACCCCCATCCCGACTCATCCTTCTGATGCTCTCCGAACATTACTGTCACAATTGCCCTCGCGCCGGAGAGACAGAACATAAGGAGAGATCAGCGGCAAAGACGGAGGAGGAGAGTAAACGAGAAAGAGAGAGAGAGCAGTGATTGAAACACAGCAGTAAAAAAGAAGAAAGAGGAGGGGAAGATAAAGGCTGATAGAGAAGATGAAGAGAAGAACTGACAGACAGACAGAGAGAGAGAGTGTATAAAGACGCAGCGGGAGGGCAGAGAAAGGAAAACAGGAGAAAGAGACGGAGAAGGGGAAAACCGGGAAGGCAGAAAGGATGAGACGCATTTGAAAACGATTACTCCTTAGTAAGCTAAACGTTTGAGAGCTGCCGTGTGTGTGTGTGTGTGTGTGTGTGTGTGTGTGTGTGTGTGTGTGTGTGTGTGTGTGAGAGAGAGAGAGACAGAGAGACGGAGGAAGAGAGAATAAAGGAGAAATACTGAAGGTTTTAGGTAAAAAGGAAATACTAATTGTGGAGTTCTGTTTTAAGCGATTGTCTTCTGAAGACTGATATTTTCTAAACAAACAGATCAAATTATTGAGCGAACAGCAGTGGCAGTGTAATACAGTCATTTACTACATTCAAATATTGATTCTGTACTATTAGATTAACCATAGTTAACAGCAAAAATAATTAATTTAATAAAAACTTTTCAATCAACTTTTAGTTTCAATCTTAACTGTAAATTAAATCTATGGTGCACACTTTCTTCTTCGTAGTGACATCAAAGTCAAGGTTGAAAACTTTGAACATTCAAAGTAGTTTCAAAGCAATCATTTGTCGTTATTTAAAGCTACAGTTCACTCTGTTCTCAATTAGCGCCATTAGCTGCTCCAGAATCCAAAAATATATCCCAAAGCATCTTTAATTTATTTTCATTTTCACTTTTAACTTTTTAAAGGTATAGTACATGATTCCTGTTCATTCGGCTGCAGCTTACTGTATTTTTACGTTTCGCAAATAACTTATTTAGTACCATGTTCCAATATTTAAAGCTACAGTACACATTCCATACTCAATTAGTGGTATTAGCAAGCTCCATTTATAAACTGTCCTGAAACTTCTTTAGTGTAATTTATTAAACTATCGCTACAGTATGCAATGTATGCTCTCTTGAGTCACTCAAAAATGATTTTCAAAAATGTTTTCTTAAATCGTCTTTAATTTATTTTCTGCTTCACTTTTAGCGTTTAAAGCTACAGTGCACAGTGCATGTATACATATAATTCTTTATACATATAATTATGTAGTTTACCACTGTTATTTTGGTAAAAAAATGTTTACATGCATATAGACTGAACATACACTACCTGACAAAAGTGTTGTCGCCTACACAACAAATAATAACTTGACTTGGCTAGTTGATCGTTTGGTATCAGAAGTGGCATATAAGAAAGGCAAAGACCTCTAGATTATGCTTATTTTACCAAAATAAAATTTGATCATGCCTTGATTTGTAATTATTTAATTAGGACAGTAAGGTCTAACTTTTCTTAGACAAAAGTATATTTATACACCCAACAGTCACTTATTTAGGTACACTTTATTAGTACCGAGTTGGACCCACTTTTGCCTTCAGAACTGCCTTAATCCTTCATGGCATAGATTCAACAGTGTACTGGAAAATTACATTTTACATTTAATTGCATCCGCTGCTTAAAAACTTGCTGGATAAGTTGGCGGTTCATTCCGCTGTGGCGACCCCGGATTAATAAAGGGACTAAGCCGACAAGAAAATGAATGAATGAATGAGTTGCTGCAGATCCATGACGCAAATCTCCCATTCCGTGACACATCCAAAATGTGCTTTATTGGATTGAGATCTGGGGATTGTGGAGGCCATTTGAGTACAGTGATCTCATTGTCATGTTCAAGAAACCAGTCTGAGATGATTCACGCTTTATGATATGGTGAGTTATCCTGCTGGAAGGGGCCATCAGAACATGGGTACACTGTGGTCATAAAGGGATGGATGTGGTCAGCAACAATACTCAGCTAGGCTGTGGCGTTGACACAATGCTCTGTTGGTACTAAAGGGCCCAAAGTGTGCCATAAAAATATCCCCCACACCATTATACCATCAACACCAGCCTGAATTGTTGATACAAGGCAGGATGGATCCATGGTTTCATGTTATTCTCGCCAAATTTTGACCCTAACATCCGAATGTTGCAGCAGAAGTCAAGATTCATCAGACCAGGCAACGTTTTTCCAATCTTCTATTGTCTAATTTTGGTGAGCCTGTGCAAATTGTAGCCTCAGTTTCCTGTTCTTAGCTGACAGGATGGGCACCCGGTGTGGTTTTCTGCTGCTATAGCCCATCTGCCTCAAGCTTAGATGTGTTGTGCGTTCAGAGATGCTCTTCTGCAAACCTCGTTTATAACAAGTGGTTATTTGAGTTGCTGTTGCCTTTCTATCAGCTGGAACCAGTCTGGCCATTCTTCTCTGACCTCTGGCATAAACAAGGCATTTGCGCCCACAGAACTGCCACTCACTGGATATTTTCTCTTTTTCGGATCATTTTCTGTAAATACTGGAGATG